TGAGAAAACAAAGAGATAAAAAAAAAAGTTTGTGCGTTGATTTTACAAGATGAAAAATAGAAGCATGTAACTGCAAAGAGACAGCAAAACTTCAAGGCAGCTGTCTTTGCTAGTAAAGTGATGAATAGACCAAGCATAGGTCAGAAGTATAACTTATACAATAATTTCAGAGTAATGATCAACCTACGTGCAGTTATTGTGGTTTGATAGGCCACATTAGAGGAAAATACTACAGACTTGTAGGCTATCCTCAAGGTCATAAATTTGCAAAAGGCAGAACAACTATTGCTGGTGCAGTAGCTCATGTTCCTATTGACAGGAAACCTAAGGCGTTTACCTCTCAATCGAATGCTCCTTTCACCCCGATCAATGTCAACAACTCTTAGCTATGCTTGTTCCTCAATTGCAAGTACGATTATCTACTGGTAATACTAAATCTCAAGACATTTCATTAGCTTCATCAGCCATTCTTGAAACTTCTGGTTTTTCAGGCAATCAATCCTATAATAATATTGATGCTGACGGGATAAAATAGATAATTGACACAGGAGCATCTGAACATATGGTATGTTCTAGCAAATATCTGACCACTATTATAGCTGATTCAAAAAATGTTGTTAAGCTACCCAATGGATATCGTGTTGTTGTGACTAAAGTTGGGACTGTGAAGTTATCAGAAGATTTGATACTTACTGATGTTTTAGTGGTACCATCATTCAATTTCAATTTGATATCTGCTAGCAATTTAGTTCTTAAGCATAATTGTTTTCTGATTTTTGTAGATAATGCTTGTTTTCTGTAGGATCTTTTAACATGAAGATTGATTGGGGTAGGCAAACTTGAGGATGGATTATATCATTTCCAAACTCATCATATCAGCCAAATTTCAAGTCCGAAAGAAAGTCAGTCCTCAACTCCTATCAATTCATTGCAAATTCTGTCAAACATTCCACCGATCTATCTGTTATATCGTGTTGCAGTCCTATTACTAATTCTCATTGTAATAAATATGTTGCTACTTCCTGTAATACTCGAAACATCAGTAATGTCACAAGTGACATTGATATATGGCATTTCCATTTAGGTCATGTGCCTATTTCAAAGTTGTCTACTTTTCATAAATATGTTCCTGGTATCAAGTTTAATAAATTCTTGTATTATTCCATATGTCCTAACGCCAGCAGCATAAACTGCCTTTTCCTCTTAGTAAAACCAGAGTATTAAAGGCTTTTGATATCATCTGTTGCGATATTTGGGGACCTTACTCTAATCCTTCTTTAGATGGATCCCGTTACTTTCTCACTATAGTTGATGATTATAGCAGGGTCACATGGACTTATGTGATGCAAAATAAGTCCTAAACCAGACCAATTATTTGATCATTTTAATCGTTAATTCAAACACACTTTCAAACCAACGTAAAAATCCTGAGATCCGATAATGGAGCTGAGTTTCTAATGACAGATTTCTATCATTCCATAGGCCTCTTACATCAGGTTAGCTATGTTGAAACTCAGCAAAATGGGGTTGTGGAGAGGAAACATCAACACATTTTAAACATTGCAAGAGCCCTCAAGTTTCAAGCCAATTTACCACATAAATTCTGGGGAGACTGCATTTTAACTGCCACACATCTTATAAATAGAACTCCCACCTCTGTCCTTGGTGATAAGTCCTCATATGAGAAGCTCTATAACTCTGCACCTTCGTATTCTCACCTCAGGGTGTTTGGTCGTCTTTGTTATGCTGCTACTTTGAGAAGAAACAGATCAAAATTTGATCCAAGAGCCACACCTTGCATTTTCCTTGGTTACTCCTATGGTATGAAGGCCTACAAGTTATATAACCTTCATACCAATACCGTGTTTCATTCCAGAGATATTATTTTCCATGAAAGCATCTTCCCTTTTCTTCATCCTTCTTTCTTACAGTCCTTAACCAATTCTGCAGATTTTCCACATCCTGATCAATTCTTATTTTCACTTCAACATGATAATTCCAATTCTCCTTCCACTAATATTTCATTTGATGTATCCTATCCATCATCTGATCATGTTTCAATCCCAGATCCTCTTCCTTCTTCCACTTCAGATCATTCTAATTCTGATATTCCTGCTATTCAATCCTCTTCATCTCAGATTCCACCCTTAATTCCTCTTCAAAAATCAAAGAGAACTATCAAGACACCTTCATATCTCTTGGATTATCACTGTAATCTAGCTTCCAAGTCATCTGCCCCTGCATCAGACTCTATGAGAAAAGGTCTTGTATCTGGTAAGCAATATCCAATATCAGATCACCTTACTTACGCTAATCCGTCTTTTGCTCACAAAAACTATGCCTTGGCTCTATCTACCGTGTTTGAGCTTCATAATTTTGAGGAGGCTTCCAAGTATCTTGATTGGTATTTTACTATGGATTTGGAATACAAAGCTCTTGTTTCAAATCGTACCTGGGATATTGTCAAGCTTCCAGCCAATAAGAAGCCAGTGTCCTGTAAGTGGGTATATACGGTCAAACTTCATTCGGATGGGAATAAGGAGAGGAAGAAAGCTTGCCTTGTTGCCAAAGGCTTTACTCAGCAATCAGGTCTAGACTATGAAGAGACCTCCTCGTCTGTAACAAAATTGGTTACTGTCAAGACTCTGTTAGCTGTTGCAGCTAAGTTATAATGGGAGTTGCACGAATTGGATATTAGGAATGCCTTTTTACATGGCGATTTGCATGAAGATGTTTACATGGTAATGCCTCCAGGCTATGAGCAGTAGGGGAAAAATGGGGAACGCCTTGTTTGCAAGTTAAATAAGTCAATCTATGGGCTTAAACAAGCCTCCAGACAATGGAACACTAAGTTGACCTCCTATATTCTATCATAAGGTTTTCAGCAATCCAAGGCCGATTATTCTTTGTTTAGCAAACACAATGGCTGCTCATTCACTGTGATCTCAGTCTATGTGGATGATATCATAATCAGTGGAAATGATTCATCATATATTGATCAATTCAATAAGGAGTTAAATGAGCTATTTAAGTTGAGGGACTTGGGGACACTTAAGTATTTCTTTGGTCTCGAAATGGCTAGAACAGCAGATGGTATTTCTATATGTCAGAGAAAATATGTTCTAGAATTATTAACTGATGCTAGTTATTTGGGTGCCAAACCAACAACCAATCCTCTTCCACACAATTTGAAGCTGAGTAAAGATGAAGGAAGCAATGTAGTGGATGCTAGTGAGTATAGAAGATTGGTAGGAAGACTACTCTATCTGACTATAACAAGACCTGATCTTTCCTATGTTGTACAATTGCTGAGTCAGTTATTGCAATCACCAAAATAGCCTCACATGGAGGCTGCACACCACGTTCTGAGGTATTTAAAAGGCTCATCAGGACAAGGATTATTTTTTGAGAGTAAACCTGATCTCCAACTCAAAGGTCACTGCGATGCAGACTGGCTTGCCTGCTCTGACACTTGGAGATCCATCACCAGCTATTGCATCTTCTTAGGGAACTCATTAATTTCGTGGAAATCCAAAAAGCAGCATACGATATCAAGGTCTTCGGCTGAAGTAGAATACAGGTCAATGGCAGTAGCTGTGTGTGAGTTAAGTTGGTTGAAAAACCTGTTGATCGATTTAGGTATGAAGCATTTGAAGGGTGCTTTGCTATTTTGTGATAATTACTCTTTAATTCACATATCTAGCAATCCCGTTTTCCATGAAAGGACGAAGAATATAGAGATTGATTGCCACTTGGTTAGAGATAAAGTTTAAGCTGGTGAAGTGAAAATGTTGTTCACAACGTCCCAAAATCAGATTGTCGATCTGCTGACAAAGGCCATTGGTGGAACCAGATTTAAGTTGCTCTTATACGAGATGGGAGTATTGATTACATACTCCTCATCTTGAGGGGGAGTGTTAAGTCCATTTAGCGCCCATTTAGAGGAGGTTATTTATGTAAATATACTTGTTGATCTTCCCACATTAGGCGTGAGCTACCTTCTAGCTCGTGTATAAATAGGAGCTCGTTGATCTCATTTATTAATTGAATTGATGTCTCAATAGAATCATTTTTCCGGCCATCATTTCATCTTCTCCAAGTCACTGCAAATCTTCAACTATGGCCATTGATGACATTTGGAGCACAGTGCAAAGTAAAAAAGAAATGCAATGATTAGCACTTTTGTCGCTATTAGCACTCCTTCATGCTGTAACTGAAGTCATTAATTTATAATTTCAAGGAACAGGATGGAGCCAAACTCGTACCTCTTAAGATGCAATATTGGGTACGAGCTAGTTAAGTAGTAAATATGGAACCGTCTTTTGCCGTGAGAAAAAGGTTATGTTTCAAAATATGGGGAAGAACAATTAAATTCTGCAAAGGTTACGACTCCACCCTAATTTATATCTACGTTGAAGGCAGAGAAGACGTTGAGGAAGATTACATGTCACTTAAGTATCACAACTAAACCTCAATCTCAATGGAAAGTGGATGACATACTAGTGATCAGAGTTGTACTCGAGCTTGTTATGATATTGAAATTCCAAGAGGTGGAACCGTACACAAACACTAGAGAAACATTCCGAATGTTAATAATATATGCACAGAGTTTATTAAACGGGGACATTGCCGTACCAGTAGGAGATATCATAGAATGAAAAAGGTTTAGGACTTAAGCTTGGTTAAGCTATACGAATGAATATTGAGGAAATTTCAAAGAAATTTTTATATGGATTCTAAGGAAGATTATGAGCATTGTATGTTGGAGTATGAAGTACTTCCTACATTAAAATTTTGGGAACATAAGCACAATAAAGTATATAATTTTTTATGATTTTACTTGGAGATTTAGGTGTGGGTAACATGAGCCTTTAAGCAAAGGAGATCGAGTATAATTTGAACATAAGCAAGATTTTGTTGTCACAACCTCCAATTTGGTCAAATACAGAACTATAAAAATTTAAATTTGAAGAACTTAAAATTAGTTTAGGATAGAAGTTCTATTTTGATCTTCCAAGAAAAAGCTGTTGAGCAGAGTTCAAAGAACGCCAGCATCCAGAAAAGGAAAGAAAATAGAGCATCAAGAGTTCACAGACTGATAAATGTAAATAATAGATTTACAATATATAAATCCAAAAAGATAAAGCACATGTTCAGATGTCCTTCAATTATTTCCTCGGACAACTTGGACATGTAACCTACCTCGGTACCTCCGACAAATTCACAGATGCATGTGTCCTTTCCTCTTACAGAGTTCAAGGCACAGAGACTTTTCCAGCCTCCGCTGTACCATACTCGCCCATCCTTCCATGTTGTCAACTTCGTTTGAAATTGTCTGCCCTCTGGATCAATGAGAAACATCTCTTGAGGTAGGTTGTCCAGATGGAAGTCCTTTATTGTCTCCTTGGGGATATACTGCCACGATAAATTATCATTATTGATTCAAAACATCAGAAAATATCCATAATTTATAAGCAGAGTCGTTTAGGAACATGAATGTACGCCTTACAAAATCATTCCGCCGATATGTCCTGATCTTGGTGACAAAGTAAGGATTTCTTGGCCGTATAGCCAAGCCCAAACTGAAAATGTCATTACCGTAAGGATCAAGACGACGTTGATGTTTTCGACCTTTACCAAGATATACCATTAGTGAGAAATTAAACAAATTGAAAGGTATATACCATATCGATAGGGAAAAATGGGTAGAAACAAATGCAGAACTTACCATGAGCCACTTGCTCCACTTGTGCTTCACCTTGTTCTTGATTCTCATGAAAACCCTCCTTATCACAACCTGACAACCCCAGTAGTTTTATGTCAAATAAATTGTCCCCATCATATCGGATCACAAAGATGTCCCCAAATTCCAGAGAGTTATCTTCCACAAATTTTTCCCAGCCATCACAAAAGAACCAGTCATTTTCAAATTTGGCCATTTTCACAGGCCATATATTTGTGTAGCGATCTCTAAGGAATGCCCTCTCTGGCACAGTTTCTTGTAATTGCAAACTAAAAGCTCTTGGCAGTTCCTACAAACAATAAGTTAAATGGAATTAGGGGTAGAAATGTTGTAACTTGAGAATAAAAGTTCTATCCTTTCAGATTAAAACCTTTTATTTTCTGTTTTAGATTTTAATTTTCAGTTTAATACAAATGAAAACTAATAATTCCTAGCATGTAACTTTCATTTTAATTGGTTTAATATTCATGATTGTAGGGGGTTAAATTTATCCCTATAAAAGGAAGTGATTCTGATTGAGATATGCAACGTGAGAAAACATAACTTGAAAAAAATACTACATTATCATTTCATACTATTTTCTTGTAGTTTTGGCAACTCAATAAAGACCGGTTCTTTATCTCCCTGTAGCCATGTTTATAGATAGAGAATCGACTGTGAGTCACATGAGTTTAATCTTGGAGCCGTGTAGTGCTGAAAGTACCCGCATCATGAAGGGAGGCAACATGACTTTAAGACAACGTCTTTGACTTGTTTTCTAAAATCTCCTCGTGTTTATGTTATATTGAGTTCCATGTTTATTGTTGAAATATATTATTTATACTTGTTATGTCAATCTATAATCTACACACAAATCGTTTGTTTTTTTTTTTTCCAACAATCTAATGTTGTGTCAAAATTTTATCACACCATAAATGCTAATACCTTCTTCCTTCATTTATTTTTCTTTCTTTTAGTTGTGGTAGCTTCCGTGCCAGCAAGATAGGGCGAAGCCAAAGCAATACTAAACAAGCGAGAAAAGTCCAAGTCTTAGTCTTTTATTCGTACCGTAATGCCTCTGTAGTCTTTCTAATGCTAATGCCTTCTTCCTTCATTAATTTTATTTCTTTTAGTTGTGGTAGCTTACGCGCTAGCAAGATAGGGCAAAGCCAAAGCAATACTAAACAAGCGAGAAAAGTACTTTCTATCTTATTAGGCAAGCCTATCAAATTTAGATATCTGTACCCTGTCGAAGTAAATTTTCAAATATAGTACATCAAATATTCCGTAAAACAGATATTGTTTCGATTATACAAAGGCAAAAGATGAACCCACCCATACAAATTTTTGTTACACTCCACCACAACTACATATGCAAGAAAATGCTAAGCATATTAAATCCTTGTGCTAAAAATGTGAAAAATGCAAACAAAACAGAATTTTAATTAAGAACGAAAACAAGGATCCCTAAAACAAAAATTAATTTCAAATATATATATGTGTACCAATCTTAGTGCGCTGAATTTAGGATTGTAACACTTGAAGAAATCCACTGTCTTTGCCATCCTTTAATCTGTTAATGACAAGCACAAAACAACAACCGGCAACTCAATATATGAATAATCAAGATCAAGTGAAAAAGCTTAAAAACATTTGCTTGTGAAAGGAAAAAGAAAGAAAAGAATATGAAATTTCAAAAAAATATATTAACATGCCTAGTTCTTTGAAGCATTTTCAGAGTTCCTCAAGCGCATGTTCGACAAAACTATTTTTTTTTTTAAGATGGTCAAATATATATTTTATCCACAATTTTTTTAATCCACTTATATCACATATTCGGTAGGACCACAAATATGCACTAGAACTAAAACACAAGTGGAAATAAATTAACTAATTTTTTTTTTTAAATATTGCAACGTAATCAAGTTTGCAAGCATCAGTAATAAAACTTGCAAAAGTTGGCTGTCATTTTGTGACAGACAAACTAAGCAGACATTTTAAAATTACTGTGGCATTTAGCCACATCATCCCTGCAAGATAAGTACATATTTTCATGTATATAAGATTGTTCAAATTCTTCTTAAGATTCTCCCTATTCCCCATTTTTCTAAAAATTCTTCTTAACCTCATGAATATAAGATCATTGGGATAAACATACGAAAAATAAGGTTTTACCCCTCCCCTAAAAGACTTTCAAAATTCAACAGTAATTTCCACATAATGATTTCCTGTTTCTGCATCAATTCCTTTGCCCCTTTTGATGTCCTAATGGATTTGTATACTTGATCAGATAAAGGCCTATGACAGAGGCTGGATAGCAGGAAGCGAGACTGAAGGGAGAGGTATGAAATGGATAAATGAGCCCTAAAAGAGAAATAGAGGGAGGAGAGATGGCCCTATCCTCCATTTCTCTACCCAAAATATGAAACCATGGAAACAAAGAATGGTCAAACAAACAAAGAAACAACACGAAGTCCCTTAAAACCTTAAAACGTGAAGGACGACGGAAATGAGAATAATAATAATAATAATAATAATAATAATAATAATAATAATAATAATAATAATAATAATAACGTCTTGTTCATAATACATGAATGGGTGTTGCTCGAATTTCACTCGAACGGATATGAGAAATATTGAAATCCACCAATTAACCGAAAAATTGAAATATTATTAATTAAAACGTTTGTAGGATTTTGAAACCCTTAACATATATTTAAAGAGATAAAATGATTCCTAATCAAAACAAATTTCTAATTCTGTACATAAACCTCAATAAAACTTCAAAAACTATAAAAATGATGAAAATACCCTTAAACTAACTAAAAATAGAAAAAACATTATAATGGACCCTAAACAATGGAATTAGACTCTGAAATCTTGAAATGTTATCAAAAAATGTGCAGAATCAAATAACGCTTTTGAAATTACTTGCTGGCACAAATGTAACACCCGATCTGAACACGTTTTCGTAGACCTTTGTTATTTCAATTCTTTTCCAATTTGTTTATGATTTTCTCTTCTAGTTGATCCGTATCATTCACTTCCACTTTAGAACGACTCGACCCGAAGTTTTCATCAAGATACAATGGCTCATCATCATCTAAAACATACTCATAAAGATCTACAACATTAAATGTCTTGAAAATGTTCATATGCTCTAGAAGATCAAGGACATATGCATTGTCATAAATCTTTCAGCTTCGTCTAACTTCCACCATGCTCTTTCCTCAGAAACCCATAACCATACCACCCACCTGAAATGTGTTACGGCCCATATGTGTATCAGTAACAGCCTTATAGTTTGCATTGGAATCTTCCAACTTTTTCTTGGAATATTCAATCACCTCCACATGTTGTTTCGCTCCTTGTTCGACTGATACACTCTTTTTCATAGTTGTTCCCAAAACTCTTTACATGAGAGGAAAACTTACTGGCTGAACTTTTAATAACAAGAAAAGCTTTCCCTTTCATTTTAGAAGTTTTTTGTGCACTCTTTGTTGGTGCAATCATAATATTTTTATCCTTCCACAAAAAATATTTTGGCGTTCTCTCTTCCCCTTTGTACGGTACCCACATTAAACTATTACGGTATGCTAGATAGATTATGACATGCATCCATGTGAACAACATCATAATAACTTCTGGTTTTTAAAAGGTCCCCAAAGAAAAAGTTACCTTATGAATTTGAGTCACCTAAATAGATGGCCCCTTCTTAATCTAAACCATCAGATACAGAGCTAGATGTGATTCAGTTGGCAGATTCAAATGATCTACTAGCTTCTTGGTGATCTGATTCTCACAACTACTGAACTACTACAATCTATGATCAAACTAAAAATAGCATCCCGACTCAACACTTGGTGTGAAAGATTTTCCTACGCTAAGTCAACTCTTTGTGCTTAGGTAAGCATAAGATTTTATGCACAATACACACAAAATCTCCTTGTTCTTCCTCACAAACTTCATCGATGAATTCTTCCACTTCCTCTTCCTTATTTTCGACATACTTCTGATCCTGAGCATCATTCTCTTTGTTAATTGTATCTACCACATGTATTGGTCTTCATTCACAGCACTCAATTCGATTTGTGTTCTAGCTTTTTGCACCTGTAATACTTTCTAACGGTCATTTTGCATACGGTTGTTACTCTACCATTTGACTTTTATTGAGTCTGGGAAGGACACGATCTTTCTTATGGCCTTCAAATTATATCATCTAAATAGTTCCAAAATGGTAGAGGGCACCGAGACCACTGAGCAAGCAGTAACAGGGCCGGCCCCTCAGAATTAAGAGGCCCTATGTGACTAATTATTACGAGACCCTTCAATATAATCATTTTTTCACAAGTGTAGCAAAATTTAAATATTTAAATAATTAACACTTTTATATTAAAAAGAAGAAAAAAAGACTTTATATAATTCAAAAGATTGAGTAGCAAACTAAAATTTTTCTCACAACCTGAGATATGTAGGCCATCATCAAATCACAAAAATAATTCAATAAAATGTACTTTAAAATAAAATTATTGGATCTATTACATCATGTAAATGTTAAATAGGTATTTAAGCTACAAAGAATATTATATGATCACTAAATTATTATGTACTTTCTGCTTGTGGAATGCAGGAATAAAAATATAACATTATAGCAAATAGCAATCTTCATCTAAAGGTATGAATTGATAAAAAGAAATAAGATAAATAACTGAATAAACAAACCTGACCATTTAGATTTAAAATAATTTACAGGATCCAAATTATCCAATAACACTGAAGGCTGAAGCAATTAATGTACAGACTCCAATTATTCAATTCAGAGGATCCAAATCATCCTCTAACACTGAAGGCTGAAGCAATTAATTTATAGGATCCAATTATTCAATTTACAAAATCCAAATCATCCAAAAACACTGAAGGCTGAAGCAATTAATTATAGGATCCAATTATTCAATTAATTCAATTATTCAATTTCTAAATATTACTATGATGCTATCCAAGAAAGAGATGATTAGATGAAGCCATTAGCCATAATTAGTAATTAATTACCTCAACACAACAATAGGAACGCCAGAACATAGGTCTTCGCCTCCGCGCCTTTTAACTTCTCCGGCGAAAAAAGTTACCCATGTTTGGTTTCTCAATCCGCCTGTTTAAGCCGATAACCCGCTTGGACACTTTTAAAACTTGGAAAATTGATTTCGAGTCACAAAAAGACTAAAAGCGATTGACGAAGACAAGCAAGAGATTAATGGGTACTTCAGAATTCAGATTTCGGCGAGATATTAACGGAAAATATGGATCCTCTCGTCGCAGACTCGCATAGGGAATATGGAAATTTTTCCCAAGTTTGAAGGAGGACGACTCTTGAAGATTGAAGAATGAAGAATTGAAGATGATTCATTCATTCATTGGAGTCTCGAGGAGGACGACTCTTCGTCTCTTCCTCTTCTCTTTAAAAAGAAAAAAACTTTTTTTTTTATGGATTAGGGTGATTTTGGGCATTTTTTTTGAGGCCTCTTAAAATCTGAGGCCCAAGGCAATGGCCTTGATTGCCTTGGGCTAGGGCGTGCCTTGAGTAGTAATTCTGCTTGAAATGCCACCTCTCTTATGTCTATCAATGAATAAATGGGCTGAACCCCATCTTGTCCTGAATTTCATCCTTTAATCTCTTTACGAATCCTGGAATCTAATGATCATCACCCTCCCGTACATTACAACGACATTGTAACCTCAAGAGCTCCTTAGCAAGGGTGGCCACCGAATGATTGCACAGTCTCTAGGAAGAAATCATTGTTACAATAATTCTTTCATCATGATATAGTCCCTTATAGGCAGTTGTCTCAGCCTATAACGTTGATCACGTATACTCTGCAATCAAGCTTCGGATCCTCCCTTAAGTCTGTACACAGTAATTGTAACATTACGTTCCTCTCTAACATATGTAATCTCGAAATTCCCTTCTACTTCATTCAACTAGTGAAGGAAAGCCTCATATCTGAACTCCCCTTCTACTTCTCTGTCTTGAGTTTGTAACTATCATAGTCATCATGACGACCTTGATGACAAACTTGGGCTGAAACAAGAGCCGACAAGGATTAGCAACCTAAACAGGGTCGATGGATGGTTGTTGCCTTGGATTATTGTCTCAAAGATTTATGACGGCTAGTACGCCCTTGTGCTGGTTTCCTATTTCTTGCAAGCTAATCTCAATCGCCTCAAACCTTGCCTCGATAATCTTACTATTATCGTCAATCATAGCTTATACCACAGAAGTAGGATGAAAACGTGAATAAAAAAGGTCTTGTTCGTAAAATACAAATAGGTATTGCACGAATTTCGCTCGAACGGGCATGAGAAATATTGGAATCCACCAATTAACGGGGAAAACTGAAATATTTTTTATCAGAATGTATGTATATTTTCAAACCTTTAACTTATACTAAAAACGTTAAAATAAATTCTAACCCAAATGAAATCCTAATTCTGTAGATAAATCTAAATAAAACTTGAAAAAAATTAAAAATGCCCTTCAATTAACAAAAAACAATGAAATGCTAAA